CCTTCTCCTCTCGCCCCGCCTCCTTTTTCGACAAACGCATCCGCACGCTCCACCTCGGGACGGGCGTCTCACACACTCAGGCCCGCTCACTCCTCGCAGTCTGCACGAACCTCACCTCCCTCACGTGCTGGTCAAACCCCCTCCCGAGCGGCGCCAAGCTCCGTGCATCACTTCCCCACGTGCTCCACCGCCTCTCCATCAACGCCATCGCGCTCTGGGGTACAGGAGCCAGCCTCGGCCCAGACGTCAGCGACCCGCTCTTCGCGCGCCTCACGCACCTCGAGATCGTCAACCCCCCGAGCTGGTTCGACTGGTCCTGCCTCCTCGTCCCCGGGGCCCTTCCCTGTCTCACCCATCTCGCATTCGGCGACCTCAGCTTCCCACACGCATCGAGTATCATCCCGTTCTTCAGCGCGGCCCTCGCAGCATCGAAGGAAGAGGAAGAGGGTGCACCGAGGCTCCAGATGCTCGTAGCCGTGTCGCGAAACGCACAGTTCCTCGCTGCGCTCGAAGAGTTTGAGGAGCTCTGGGAGGATAAGAGGTTGGTGTGTCTTCCGAGCTATTGTCACCCGTGGACGCCTGGAGAGTATTGGGACGGCGTTGCGAGGGGGGAGGTCCAGTTTTGGAGGAGCTCACCGCGTGTGGGCGGCTCTTGACTGCGTGGCAGATGGTTTCCCAGACGATGACTGACGACCGAGATTTGATGGAAATACGATCGACTCTCTCATGTACTACTACTTAGCTTACTAGTTTGAAGAATTACTCTGGTTGAAAGAACCAGTCTTAGATCTAGATTTTATTGCCGTTTGCAGAATAGTTGGCGCGGATCATGATGGTGTGATTTTTGGCTCATTTCAGCCCGAATCTTAGAACGCTCATTTCTCCACAACCGCTGCACCAATTCGCAAGATTTTGGTATCACCGTAATCGCCTCGTCCACACGCAGGGCGCCCCATAATTTTTGAGCCCGGAATTTGGTGCCTTGCAACTCTGTTTTCCGGCACCCCAAGTAGCACGAGAACGGCTGTAACTTCACGTAGACTGCTCAGAATAACCCCATTTTCGAATATGTTGTCGTCCTACATGTACTCTAGGGCGCCCCGGGTGCGGAATCCCAACGAGGTCCTATATCCCATTGAACGACCATGGGACATCTCTGGATCAACACATCAAACCTGTTCTCCTCCCTCTCTCTCCGCCCTCAATGACTCGCGGCAAACCTCTCTCCGACGACCTTCGGGGGGCTATTCTGAACATGTCCCGGCGTCTTAAGGTCCCGGAAATCGTCAAGTATACAGGCTGCGCGACAAGAAGTGTGCAGCGAGTCCTCGAGGACTATCACAAGAGAGGGATTGTTTGTCGGGAGCATCTGCGAATGGAGCTGCGTGGAGCGAAACGAAGGATGACCCACGGCGATATTAGTGTGCGTTCTGCCTCTCTACTGCGGGATGCACCTCATCTTTACGCAGTTCTTGACTGGTGTAATTCGGCACAGTCCAGACAGCTATCTGGATGAATTGCGTGAGCTTCTCCAGGAACGCCGCGGTACCGATGTCAGCGAAGCGACTATCTGGCGCAGCTTGAAGCGGTGTGGGTTCACAATGAAGAAGGTGCGCAGCCCTTGGATAATCCTTGGTTTTTTCATTGATATTTTCAGTGCAGCTTACTCGAGCCGCACTGGAGCGCAGTGCGATGAAACGGGCCACCTTCAGGTACACCCATGGCATGGAGTACACGGCAGAGCAGACTGTCTTTGTCGACGAGAGCTACTTCGATCGCCGCACGTCCATCCGACACCGCGCTTGGGCCTTGAGCGGCCACCGAGCCATCCGCAAATGTTTCTTTGTGCGTGGACGCCGATGTGTGTTTTCTACTCTTATTGGATGTTCCTCTGACGTGAAATTAGCTACTCGTTGCTCCCTGCCCTGTCTCTTGACGGTATGCTTCACGTCAAGATTGTCGAGGGCTCGTTCACGGCCGCCCTCTTCTACGAGTTCATTGACGGCTTGCTCGACCATATGCAGCCCTTTCCTGCCAACAACTCGGTCATTGTCATGGACAATGCACGTATCCACAAGGACCCCGCCATCCTAGTGATGGGTCGGTGATGTATGTGCTCTAAACCTACTATAGAAATCAACCAACTCGAAACAACAAGACTAGATGAGTCTCGATACAGACGAATCTATATCTAAACAACCCAATCACGAAGCTCCGGGGCGAGTGACAACTATATTGACAGCAGGCAAAGGCGAGTATAAGTCCCTAGTACAGGGCCTTATGAAAGGTTGTAGGGAATACTGTGATATTGTCTCGATATGATTGGTCGAGTTTTGTATTGCGAATCAAAATCCTTGATGAAAACCAAGGATGGCGATTCTAAAGCGTTTTGTAGATTTTAAAGCTTCACAGCTAACACAAAAGATAGATTGAGTTTGGCTAAAGCCGGGTTTTTGCAATAAAGCAGGTATTTGGGTCTCTCGATCCCTTTTACACTGGTATCTGAAGACGACAGCGACCGATACAACACGGATTTCACAAATTCCAACAATTCCTGAACCAATTCCTGACACTGAACACACAACCAGACCCTAACTGACACACAAACCGTACCAAGCCGTAGCAAGCCTTCCAAAGCTGCCACTGAGCTGAAACCCTAATCACAATCCAACTTGCACTCGAACCAAACTATGCTTCAAACTCGATTCACACAACGGGAGCCAACAAAACAACAATTTAGATTTTCAAGGGCGATTGCTAAGCTACGCAATGCACCTTCGAAAGCCTCGGACAAATCCCTTAGTCGCAGCTGGTAGCTTGCTAGTGGGGGAAGTATCTGCTGCCCTCTTGGGTAACACTCTATCTACTTTATACATGTCCGGGGATCATATGATAGTACAAACGAATGGCGCAATAATGATGAATCTCCCACGTATCCTGAATAGAAACGACCTGATTGGTTGATCTGGCACTGGTGCTCAGTCAGCCAGAGCGCCAAGCCATGATTCAGCATGTTATCTCGTGATTCCATCGCTGATCCATGACTCGGACAGTTTGGATATCTTGTATCCCTTCTTCCCCTCCAGAGTATGGCCTCAAAATGTACTCCCACGTGTTGTAGGTTTCGAACGATACCCATATCTCCCACTCTTGGTCTCGGATACCAGCAGATACTTGACCAAAAGTCCGTATCCAAGCCGGAATCCACTTGTTCCGACAGGTGATGGCTACTACGTCACTTCCATCGGACCCGTATCGGCGGTCTGCTCATGTTTCAGGTCATTCGGCCGACTTGCCCATCATTCTGTGAACTCCCGAACCTCCGAATTGCACTTGCACCAAGGTTCGAACTGCTGACAATCGTACAACGGTTAAGAACTGTTTAATTGGTGTATCCCATTGGTAAGGCAGGTATCCACACCTCCTACATGTTTCGGAGTGAGTCCATCAGTCGTATCCAGGTAAATACCCTTCAACCTGTATAGTACTCTAAAGTATCCACCGTACTGACTGTCTCTGGGCTCGACATCAGCTCTCGTATTGAGATCATATAGTATGGAAACCACATCTGAAATCGTGCAAAAAGCGTGCTTTCAAGGGCAGTCAAATTCCATGCTCATCACCGCTGTGGAGAGGTTCACCCCCAACTTCGAGATCACATAATTAGCCGTGAGATCCGAAACACCCGAAACACCTGATAAATCTGACTACTCAGAATTCATCAATCAATCAAATCTCTACATATTCCGCCGTAAATGCCGCTACTCTTACTGTGAACCTCGAAACTGCGGCTGGGTAGGAACCTGTCCTTATATACCCTCTCGGACATCCACGGATCAATTCTCTGCCGAACCATTGCCGCAACCTCGGTCTTGGTAATGGCTCAATAATCCGCTTGATAATGAGCTGCAGGCACGGGAATCCGGTCATCCACGGAGATCATGCCGATCATGCCGCGTCGTCGGCATGTGATATGTGCCGAGTTGCCGAGTGGTGGAAATTGAAAAGTGTTGTCGAAGTTGTGATGAATGAATGATGCCGTTGTTGGACCTGCAGGCGGACAGGTCGGAATATGCGGAGGCTCGCCAGATGTTTCTCCAGGTTGCCGTTGAGGTTGATTTTGAGCCATACACCCAGGGCTTAGGGCTCTTGAACCTAGCCCGGGTTGATATTATTCTTGGACAGGGTGCCGAGGTTGTGCAACAAACAATGCAGAAGGCCCGGCAGATATTCCGCACTTTGGAGCATCCCACGGCACTTACTATGTGTGACATAGTTCTTGCCGATTTGGATGTTAGGGAGGGCAATGCACACGAAGCATATATTGAGTACCAAAGATGCATGGAATCTGCATTGGGGAACTCTATTCAAACCAGTGGGCACTGTCTAGAGAAATTGGCCAACCCATCAAATTGGACTCAATTGGGGTCAGTTTGGAATTCGAGTTGGGCAATTGTGTTTCTCGGCCATGCTGTGAAATCGGGTCACAAATTACAGATTTTCAAGTCACTCAGCTCCCTCGGGGGTGTGTTTATATCTGTCGGTGATGACTCTTCAGCGGAGAGTCTGTTCACTGTGGCAATGGACGGATTCACTGCCATGGATGTCCACAGTGGCCGAGGAACTTGTATGGAGGGCTTGGGCGACATTGCTCAAAAGCGAGGCGACTATGATGCTGCTATGAGACTCTACGAGGACGCAAAGCTCTTGTTTTTGCGCTCCTGTGACAAGGTGAATATTGACGGGGTGCAAAAAAGGCTTGTAGAATTGGGCAGTGTCATTCGACAAGTGAAAAGGCTAGAGCTGGCAGAGCATGATCAAGGGCTCGTTGAAGAGACAACAGCAAACCAACGCAGGGCTGTTCAGACCACTCCCCTTCACGGCTAAGACTGTATGTAGTGTGCTAAATATTGGATTCATCGAGTCAACATCGAGTACCTGTGTTTTTAATCAAGAGGAGTCACAGTTTCTACCTTTCAACTTGAGCCGGCAAAAATTAGTGGACAAGTGGCGATCCGAACGCCAGACCTTCCGCAACTTATGGTGGGTCATTTCAGAGATACCTCTGATGCGAAGCGGACGCAATCACCAACTATACTACATGCCCAGCGGCCGCCAGCGGGGACATCGCCTCGCAGAACTGTAGGGCTCAAGGTATCTTTTGCTCTCAATCCGGGCTCAATTTTGGCTTGCATTGAGGGACAATTACTGCGGGGGGGCATGCAGTTCGTCGGCACTAGAACACCCCAAAGAATTACTTCTCACAGTAATTCAACACTGCGCCAGAAAGTTGAAGGGAAACAGTGCCTGCATCACTATCAACCCACCCAGTGCAATACGCGAAGCCTTGTAGAGTCACAGTAGCATCTCCAAGGTACGGAAAAAATGCATCGGGGTGGGTCCTTGAGAGCATTGTACCCGCTCAACACCGTGAATGAATTGACCTAAATCCAGACTTAGTTCAGTTGGCCATGGTCTCGGTACCGACTGAACTTACTTAGTACTTAAACTGAGGAACCCCTTTGGTTGTGTGCTGAAGACAACACAGTCTTCGCAGGAAATATAAACCCCCACAGGGACCAGGATAATGTTCACCATGAATTCAACCATTTCCATGTGGCAAATGTTGAGTTTGCTGGATTCCAAACGGTTCGATGGTGTAGTTGGTTATCACTTCTGTCTAACTGTGAATTTTCGGGCGCGATAGCCGACTGCGCGATGGAAAGGGGGCAAAGGCGTTGAAATTGTGGCGGTACGCGTCATCACTGGCGTCAAATACGTGTTACGTCAGCATTTGGTCAGCATCAGGCGCGTCTCGTCTCTTTCCTCCCTCCCTCCCTCTCTCCCTCTCTCCCTCCCTCTCCCTCCTCCTTCGTTCTCCCTCCTCCTCCCTCCCTCCTTCGTTCTCCCTCTCCCTCCTCTTTCGTTCTCCCTCTCCCTCCGCCTTCGTTGTCCCTCTCCCTCCCTTCCTCCCTCCTCCCTCCCCCTTCACGAACCAAACACTCCTTCCTCGCGTCCCCTACATACCTTAATTCACTTATAATGGCGCCCCGCAAATCCAAACCCCGCATCTCGGACGAGGAGGCAGCGCGTATCGCCCTAGCCGCAGCGGACGAGGAGAAGCGTCGCTTAATGACCGTGTCTCTAGAAGGCATCTTCCATCACAAGAAGATTCTCCAACCCACCCTGAACCCCAAATGAGGAGGGGGGGGGGGGGGGGGGTGCGTGAGACAGTGTCAGAGATCAGTTGATCTCACTGCATTCCGAGGGCTGGTAGGCACGGGGTCTGCCTAGTGGTGTAGGCAGAGGTAGGCACACTTGAGATAAACTCAGCTGAGTTGCATGAGTATACCTGTGCCTACGTAGTCGTGGCTCAGTTCTGTGGTTGTACGCGCCCGGGCTCCAGCAAGGCCATGGTGAGTTGACAGAACATGAGAAATGCGTTTGATATGCATCTGACTTGCCATGGGAGCCATCACGGCGGCCTGAACTCGGCGACATCCCGCTTTCTTCAGCTCGTCGTCACCTCCTCACCAGGCCCCACTAGTCCAACCCTCATGGCTGGGATACCTTCCGATACTCCGAACCTCAACAGCAAGAACATTGTCTAGCAGCGCGACGAGGACGCCGAAGATCAGCTCGCGCCGACGCAAATCATGAATTAACTTTCAAGATTCACACAGGCGACATGTGTCTATTAAGTATGGCTCGGTGGTCGAGGCGCGGGCGGTTGGGGAGGTTGGATGAGGAGGCCAGAGGGAGACACAGCTGGCACTTGGGTGCCGACCGATGTAGGCACAGTGTAGGCAGAGGGTAGGCACAGCTAGTGGTGGCAAGGTTCGGTTCGGTCCGGTTCAGCATCAATTTTTGCGAACCCCGAACCTGAACCTGGCGTTCGGTTCGGGCATTTCCCGAACCTTGAACCTGAATCCGCGTTCGCGTTCGGTTCGACGTTCGAACGCGTTCGAACCCCCAAGAATTTCAACACAACAATCCGAGTAAAGGCCGGTCAGAACAATATTCTAGGTCCATTGGCACCTGGTGAGTACCGACGGGAATCATTATCGGGGTCTCTAATCACCCTCCGGGGCCGAAACATCCGACTAAAGGGCTCCCGACGCCGTTGATGCGCCATCCACGAAGCCGGGGTTATCATTCTCTCGTCTCCGCCGCATCAAAATGGGGTGAAAAGAGCCGAGGGTGGACCGGATGGTATAATCGTGGCAACTGGCGGTGAGACACCCCGAAATGCCTCAGATTCACATCGAAATCCACCGAAATTCGGCGCTGGCGTTCAATTTCGCGTTCGGCGTTCGAACGCGCGCGCCCACAACTGAACCTTGAACCGAACTTGCGTTCAGGTTCGGGAAATGTCCGAACCTGAACGCTGAACCCGCGTCCGGTTCAGGTTCGGTTCAGGTTCGAACCGTTTTGTGAACCGGACCTTGCCACCACTAGGCACAGCTAGGCAGAGTTTCGACGAACTCACCTAGGCACAGCCCAAAATGGTGTGCCTAATGGGGTAGGCACACGTGGGCACAGCTACACACAGCCTTGCCTACACGGGTGCGGAATGCAGTGTCTGCTGCCTCTTGCCTGTGACTCGGACCCGCTTTCCACTCCGGGGAAAATGCCCGGCCATTTATCTGATGCCAACTGAAACAAATAGTGGCTTTGGACAAGAGGTGGCAGATCAACTGATCCACGACACTAATTGATTGTTTCCCACGGACCCCCCCCCCCCCCCCCCCTTCCTAAACGAGATGTACCTCCGTGAAGTCCGTTAGCTCCGTCCCTTGGCAACAGCCTTCCTCAGTCTCCGAGCCTCACTTATGCCTACTGGGTGCTCCCCACCCCGGTCTGAACCATTCATCTCAACTTGGCACTCAACCCCCATGTCTTTTCGCGATTCTTGGCGCGGTTTGTGTTTTCCCATCAAATCACAACCAACCGGAGTTATCAAGAGTATGTCATGGATCAACTGATTTGCCACCTCTTGGCTTTGGATGAACAATGGCCTCAGCTGTGGACTGGGCCATGGCCTTACTTTCCTTTTTCATCAAACAAAGAGCCGAGGGCCCAAGCGCCAATGTCCCACCGAGTCCTATAAAAGCACGCCCCTGCGCCTCGCTCAGACTAGGGTACCGTTTATAATTCCCCGGGGGGTTACAAACGGTTTGTTATTTTTCGTTTATAAACAGCGGGTTTATAAACATGTTTATAAACTGGCGCCGTCTGATCGCCGAATCGGCGTGAGAAGCAAATTTTCGGACAAAATCTCCCTTTCCCAGCCTCAAAATCGCTCCCAGCCTCTCCCACAACCCTCCCGCAGCCCTCCGGACTGCTTGGAGGCAGTTGTTTCCCATCTGATCTGCATTCAATGCCACAAATGATGAGAAATCACTGCTATCAGATGGGCATCACGGGATTAAAAACAGGCCGTTTGGCCGCTGGAATAAAAAACATGTTTATAAACGCGTGTTTATAAACATGAGTTACAAACGGGACCCTAGCTCAGACCCTCCCACTTGACGCCCTCCCTCTCATGGCCGTCACCCGCTCGAGCAAGAAACCCGTCGCACGAGTGCGTGCTCCCGCTCCACCTCCACGCTGCCCGAATGTATTCCGCTGCCCCTCTCCCTCACCCACTCCGGAGCCTTCTCCCCAGGCCTCTTCCTCGAAGAAGAAGAAGGAACTGGCTGCTCCCGTCGCAGGCCCAACGTCCAAAGAGCCTGTACCAGGGCCATTCGTCCCAGCAAATAACACAAAGGGGAAGGAACGCAAGACCGTGCCGAAGAAGCATGCGGATCTCGTCAAGGCTGTTGGCGTCGCCTTTAACAAGAAACGCGCCAAGGAGCGCGCAGCTGGCGGCCCCGTTCGGCAGCTTGCGGAGCCTTGGGTCGCTGTAGGCCATGTACGTCTTTCCCTTTCTCCTCAATGTCGAAACTCATCCATCGCCACAGCTCGACCCCCAAACAACCGAGGTCCAGCTCAAGGAGCACTTTTCCCACGCCGGCAAGGTAAAGTCGGCGAGTATTCGCTATAGCACCGGCGCCGTCGACCAGAACAACACGGGTCTCCCTGGCTACACGTATGCCTTGGTGTATTTCAACAGCCGAGCCGCTGCGCACGATGCACTTCTCCTCGGTGGCACTCGCGTTGGGGAGTCGACGTATGATATCGTCGTGAGTCTTTTTTTCCCACTTCGATTTCGATGAGATATCACCATACATTGGCAGGTCGAGTCGGCACTCCACGCTCTACCTGAGATTCGCCGCCTCCAAGCCGCTACCATTGCTTCGTCCAACGCCGCCGGCAAGAATAACGCCGCACAGGATCAGCAGGCCGAGTTGAAGCAAACAGGTCCGTGTGACCCTTCTCCAGCTTGATATTGCCTCACTATCTTTCAACGAACAGCCTGCGGTCCAATCGCGTACGTCCCACGCCTTCATCCAGAGCCTCGTCATTGACCGATTCCAGATCTTCCACCATTGCACTCGGAAAGACGAAGGTCTGGTCGAAGCGTCCGGATGTTCATGCTCAGCTCAAACGCGACAAAAAGGGGAAGGGGAAGGTGCATTTGTGGGCTGGGGCGGAGTTTGCTTTGACGCTGGCTTGAACCCACCTCTGTAATGTGATTCAGAAATCAAGCGATAGGATTTGTGATCCTTCAGTCGGTCTCTGAATGCAGAGAATGCCGAACATCGGTCGAGCAATGGGCGGTGGCCTCCTAGAGCGCCAAAAGTTTGGTTTGCCGCGTCGATCCAGACAGAGTCTTTGGTTTTGGTTTCAGTTGCCGCAGTTTCATCGCGTTGCAACTCGTATGACCGGACTGCGGGTGGCCCGCCTCTGCCTTGAGTTTGTGCATCTTGTTCCAACTTCCCTCCCGCAGACAACACCCGTTCGATTCGGGGTCCGGCCCTCAGGCTGTCGCGGGGACCGATCAACTTTTTGTCACGCCCACGACTCACGAGAGATTGTTTCACCAAGCGTATCCACCGGCCTCGGCCGCATTCTCCTGGCCTACAGACTCTATTTTTTTGCAGTGCCACAATGTGCCGTTGTGGAAATGCCGCTCGCCGCCGGAATTAGCCGAATTGATCTAGT